GTGACACAAAAGGTTTATTTCTCCTCTGAGCCTTTGAAACTCTGCTAAGAACAAGACGGATTTGTTTCCAGTTGTGAAACTGTTCACAAAGATATCAAGAAATACGCAATGGCAGTTTCTTGGTGACAAAGATTATTTTTAAAGGCCTTTCGCTGTGGGCATGGAAAATTCTGCAGTGCCATTTAATTACTCTAAAAATGCCAGAACAACCTGTTAGACCCCAAGCCTGTTTTTCAGGTTTCAGGCTCGAAAATGACATGCCCAGAACAAATGACTATAACTTCACTTCTAAAAGGGTTAAATTAATAATCTTTTTTCTCAAAGCAAGGTTACATCTGTGAGATGGATGTAGAAGTGTCAGAATCAATATAGATGTTTCTGTGTGAGAGTGAATTCAGATGGAACATAGTAAAAAAGTGTAAATTCTTACCTCCGCCTAAAAAAAAACATTACTTATAGTGAAAACCACCCTTGAATGATGGGTTAGTAGCCTAGGAATCCAAAGTATAACATATAATAAGTACCCTGTATCAAGATTGAGGCAAAACAAGTGAAAATTGACCTTTTTAGAGATATTTAGGGAAAAAAAGTCCAGGCGGACTAAGCTTTGGGCACATTTGGGCACATCTGGTTCCATCAGTGCCATTTAACCTTTTTCAGGTACCAGACTGTAAAAATCATTTTATAACATTGAATCATCACTATAGTTATTAATTCCATCAAAAAAAAAAAAAAAAAAAAAAAGAATTATTGTAAAATTTAACCTGCTAATTATTGTCATGGATTTGAAAACTGATGTTGTTTATTTGCTATGTTCTGGCTGCTAGCTCAGTGAATTCTTGCCTGCAGTGATGGGGTGTATACCCATGGAATCTGTGGAATCTCAGCTTTCAGATGATGTGTTGTTTGTGCAGAAAGTATGAATTATAAATGATCATTTTTGAGTTATGAGCAGAAATAGCATTAGTCCGTATTTGCTAAGGGCTCATTGAAAGGCTTCTTGTGGGAATTATTATTATTATTATTTTATTTTTTTTCGTATAGTCAGTTAGCTGAGTTTCTTTCCGTCAGCTGGGTGTGGAACATTAATAGTTTCATAAATGACACTTCAGAGATCACACTGGTGCTAGCAGATGTAGCATTTTCGGACCCTTCGGCGGGTCCGTGGGGTTTAACAGGTTTTAAGCTGTCACTATAAAAGCACACGCACTGTACTTTTGCAAACCTGAACTTTAGCTGTTGTACAGTTCACACTCTCTTAATGAGGTCAAATACACATACTAAACTAGTTAGGCGTGTCTACTTGCAAGGAAAGATACATTTCTTGGGAAAATACAACTTGTGTGATAGATAATTAGTACGTCAGTCATGGTGAAGACTTACTTTCTGTAGACAACCCCTGGTTTGGCTGTGACAAACGGTCTCAGTAAAGTCTGGATGCGGCTTTCCCAGCACCAAAAGGTGGGGTAGTAGGTCTCTGACACTACCGGACATTGCTCCCTCAGAAAGCGGTAGAACTTTTTACCCCCGGAGATGAGCTGTGGCTTCTGCAACAGACAGGGGAAGTAAGGGTGAAAATACAAGTTATTTTTTTCATTTTTGCCTCAGGGTTTAATTAATTTGACTTTTCATTACATGACAGCAGATCCTTCCATGTAATGAAGCTTAGCTCTTAGAAATGTTTGTCATCATATGTTGTAAAATGTTAAATTGCATTAAAACTTGCATTTTGGTCTCTGAAATAAACATAAATACTTCAAAACAGACCAAATAATTCTTAAAAAAATTACAGAATATTTACGTTGTTGTATATGATTACATTTCAGCATACAACAGAAACACATCTGCATGAACCTTCATCTATTATACTTTAACAGAGCATATGAAACGTTAAGCCTTCATTAGTATTGCATAACAACAACAACAACAACTAATAAAGGTTTTTATCTAATAAAGGCATCGTCTATTACAGTAGCTTCCTTTTTTGATTAAGGTCATTCCACTGGAGAAATGGTAGGATGATTGTTAATAAATCCAGCAATCTAATTGACAAATCAAACATATTATCTAATATGTTTACTCACATAATACATTTCTATAAAAAAAAGTATTCCTGGTTCTATTAATATGTCATTGTTTAACTCGTGAATAATAATCTTATTCAGCAGGGGATTTGTAATTACATAAAACCAACACCGTGAGTCTGCTTGCCATGAAATGAATGACGGCAATTTACCATGCAGCGCAGGAAGCCTTGAAACGGCATGTCTAGCTAACATACAGTAATGTTAGCCTAGCATGGTCAATGCCGACATCCAACTGTATGCAGGGGATTGATTTATTGTTGTTACATAAGTGCTGCACATGGATGTAGATAGCATACATTTTAGATGAATGTGCGCATCCGAGCGTGTCTTATCTGCCTGAGATCCACCCCACATGTGTAACGTTTGCACACTGGTGCACAGATGCAACATAATCGAGACCTCCATCAGCAGGAGCCCCAGTCAACACCATCACCCGGCCGGCAAGTGATGCTCCACCATGACAAGCACAGCGGTTTTTATTGAACATGCAGGACCATAATGCACATAATAGTCCATCTAAAGCAGGTTATAAAACATGACTTACCTTTGCTACTGAAAGCAAATAATAGCAGGTGTACGCTGCGCTAAAGCCCAGAACCAAAGACAGTCCTACCCCCGATCCAAAAAGCCCAACTTTCAGATAATGTGAGAGGTCCCCAGTTAAAATGTTGAAATTGAAGTCCAGCTCAGTCCAGATCATTGCAAGGTCTCCTGTTTATCCTCGTACTGCAAGGACAGCGGCCAGCTCGGGTGAAAGTCAGCTGTGTCTGCCTGCGAGCCCACTGTGAAGGAGGAAACACGGACCATATAAGGGGAGATATAACGCTGTGTGCAGAGCGGTGGCGCTTTATGACCGGCTATGTACAGTCAGACAGACAAGCAGGGAGGCTCACAGTCGCTCCCTGCAGACGACAGGGGGGAGGTGCACCCTGCGGCTCTGCAGATTGGCCTGGAAGCCTCCCCTTGAACTCAGCCAAAAGACAATAAACAGATAGATGCAATGACAGCATTCAGAGGTGGGAAGTAACTGAGTACATTTACTCAAGTACTGTACTACTTGAGTATTTCCCTTTTATGGTACTGTATACTTTTACTCCACTACCTTTCAAAGGAAAAGTAATGTTATTTTACTCCACTACATTTATTTACCACCTTTAGCTACTTTTAACAAAATGCATCTCTAAAAATTAAAGTAGAGATTCAAGATTCAAGGATTTTATTGTCATTCGTACATAGCAGTGAAGTGTAGTTATGTCGATGAAAATCGTATAGGTCACATGCTCCTCCAACAGTGCAACACAATAAAACAGATACAATAGTGCAAGTAAATACACATAAAATAGAATAGAAGTAGTGGATTAACTAAGACAAAACAGTACTATGATTTAATTATTTTACAAAAAGTCAGAACTGTTTTTGTCTACAACAGTAAAATGTAACTCAATGCAACAATATTATCTAGAAATTTCACATTTATAGATATATTTATATACTTTAAGTACATTTAACTGATAATACCTTTGGACTTTTACATAAGTAAGATTTTGAATGCAGGACTTTTACATGTAGTGAAGTATTTTGATAATAATGGTACTTTTACTCAAAGTAAAGCATCTGAATTCTTCTTCCATCACTGACAGCATTACCTTCTTCAGCTTCTTAAACAATGTAACGTGTTTGCTGCAGTGGTAATCCACATTACAACTGGATTACCAACTAGGAAAAGAAGGCAGCTACCCCAGGGGCTACAGACCCACAGGGGGTGCCGACTCAAGGTTCATGATGGCCAATTAGATGGTGGTAATTTAATTAACTGAGAATGCGTTTGTTAATACTGTATGCACCATGATAGGCGCCTTAAGGCAACATTGGGGCCCCATTTAGTATTGAAGGACCCTGGGTAACTGTTTAAGCGCTTTAATTTAAATTAAATTCATGTTGAGCTTATATGGTAGATTTAACAAGGTATACATTTCGGCTTAATCCTTACATAATGCAACAAGATCGGAAACAAGTTCAAAAGGGGCCCACAGTAATGTTTTCCCGGAGCTAGAGTGGGCTATTCTAATATATGCCAACCGGAGATTGTTATTGTTTGTCTTTGAAAGTAGTCTGTTTTGGTGTTATCAGACACATACAGCATCTGGTGAGTCTGATATAAATAACATTTCAACTTAGAAATGTGTTGATTAATGTAATATACAAAACAAATAGAATAATTTTTCAATATCTTAGTTGAGTTATGTTTACAATTAATAACTAACTGCATTCAGTAAAGTAAAGTTTTAACATGTCCTTGAAAGGAAAATCAAAAGCCATTCCATTTAGAAATACCAGCTGGAATTCTTGGACACACTTTTTCTTCTGTGTCTGCTGGATCTTATTTAATTTAATTTGAATTCATGTCAGCTTCCATCAGCTCAGACAGCTTAAATGATACCATTAGAAATTCAATGTGCAGTATACACTGCAGACAGTTTATGAGCCTTTATATGCAAAAATATATTGTTCCAGATGTAACAATTGGTAGTGTTCATTAAATATTTACTCAATGTTGCTTTATACAGAAGTTCCTGCGACTATACATGCATGTATTTGTCAAACACTGGAGAAAAAATTATTTTGATTGATTGTTATTGACTGTTTCTGTAGTCTACTTCCCATGACGAATTAAAACATTTAAAAGGGATGGGTTGGGTTGGTTTCAGATTACTGTAGTGGTATTATTTGAAAATCATTCGACAAAAGATTCAAAAAGATCTGCTTCATCTACTTATTAAAATGGGTTAAAATACAGAGATTATGTTTTTTATCTTTACCACACAAACCGAGAATGGGTTTGGACATCCAGATGCGCATGCGCGACCTGGGCTGGACTCGTACTTGTTTTTCTAGCCTCTCGTCTTCGGGCTTTGTCGTTCACCACCGTAGCTAGTTGTTGCTCGTCTGAGGTCTGAACGATGATTGACAATAATGGCGACGCGGTTATTCTGAGTTGACTCCAGGGAACCATCTCTGGCTGACAAAGGGAACATCTTGGATGGATTTTCAGCACCATACACAACAACAATAATGATAAGCAGCGACCAAAAGGACTTCATTTACCTCAACGAAAAGGACTTGCTAGCCTGGAGAGGTTTTATCTTGCTAGCATTGCGATAGCATAGCAACTCAGCTCGCTAGCTTGCTAAGTTGAAGAGGTGGCATTCTTGTGTGTGGAGTGGAGGAGAGACATAGCCAGCTTGCTGGATAGTCATATCTGTCTAAGCTAGCAATGTTGCTTCTCAATAGGCTTTTGGGGTTATTCGTGTCTTATTCTCAGAGGCAAACCGAGGCGCTTGCAAATAACGTTAGCTTTTGGGAATAGTTTTTTGAGACAGCCTCCTTAGGTAGCTAACTTAGCTACTAAGCTAACAGGCTAGCTTTAGGAATTGTTCCAGTCTCTTTCCTGTTAGGACCTGCTCGCACTTGCAGCTGGAAACTGTCCACCGATCGCTAGCAACGACTGCTAGCTTGCAAACTTGTTAGAAAGAGTTTTGGTACTGCGCGTCCTTTTTGAAAATGACCACCGGGAGGAATAACCGAGCGATGATGGAGGGAGTTGGGGCGAGAGTGGTCCGGGGACCCGACTGGAAGTGGGGGAAGCAGGATGGTGGAGAGGGACATGTTGGCACCGTCAGGAGTTTTGAAAGTCCAGAGGAGGTGGTCGTTGTCTGGGATAACGGGACGGCTGCTAACTACCGCTGCTCCGGGGCTTACGACGTGAGGATATTAGACAGTGCTCCAACAGGTAACTTTACATCCGTTCCTTTTTGTTTTTCAGCACTTTGAGACTCATTTAAAGGCAAGTGTCTTTTAATGCAACACAAGGTAATGCTCAATATACAAGACAGTGGTTCTTTATTGGCCTTCATTTAGAGACTTTGTAGTATTAAGATGCATTTGTAATCCTGGCAGCTATGAAAGTTGTTGCTGTAATGAAAACATAATATTTTGCCATTTAACATAGTTTTTGTTCTACATTTTAGGAATCAGTTAATTAGTTTTAGCTAGTTTATTATGTATGTTGAAAGCAGACATTCTGTTGACTACCGCAAAAGTAGATCAGTATTTAAATGTTCTCTGAACAGATGTGTGTCACAGTCAGATATCACTGTGTTCAACATATGCTAATAAGATGTGGTAGATAATACAAGATACACGTTAAGAGTTGAGAATAGGACAACATAATGGCTTGTGATTTCAAATAACACATTTAGAGGAAAAACATGTTCCAACATTCAATAAAAGTATATCAGCAGGATGGACTACTTACCCATTGTTTAGCCTCATCACCTTGTTGTTGCCATTGTCTTACATCCCAACACAGCTACACTTTTCAGCATGTTTCCCATTGACTGGCTTCATTCAGTTTCTTATAGCTTTACCTGAGTAACGGTGGAGAAGTTGAGTTTTCAGAAGTCCTTTTAATTTTCCCTATCTTAAAGAGAATGATAAAAGCACTTGTTGCTAAAATTGGTCTAGCTGTTATCAGGTGTCACACGAGCATGTATAACACCCTTCAAAAATATATAGGTAATAAAGACAAGTTTTAAAGTGCACACAATAGTCTCAAACTATTTCAAATAGGCTACTTAAATAAATGTTACCGCGCAGAGGCAATAAACATTGTTGATAATAAAATGTGAAACATTTATTCAAGTTGTATTACTGATGTACAATATACACACATGCCAGCACACAATATAACCCCAGTGTATTAATGTAGTCTCCTTCTGCCCCCCCCTTAGGCATCAAGCATGATGGAACCATGTGTGACACCTGCCGTCAACAGCCCATCATTGGTATTCGCTGGAAATGTGCTGAGTGCACCAATTACGACCTTTGCACAACCTGTTACCATGGAGACAAGCATCACCTGAGACACCGGTTCTACAGGATCACCACCCCAGGCAGTGAGAGGTGAGTTAACCAAGCAGCAATTGCTAGTAATGTTCCCCACCTTTGACCCCCCCCCCTCCCCACATCGGTAAAATGGACCCAAGGTAGCCAGGTAATCCCTGCACTCGATTGTGATTGGTTGGCGTTCGCTTTCACTCCCTTAGTTTGCCTTTATGTCTGTGTGTGTGACATTTGAGAAGTCTTTTGTGCACCATGCCTCTCAGGCAAACAGCATCTATCTCTATGCTCCCAGCCCTCAGTTGCCAGGCAACAACAGAGCCTCATTTCAAGATCCGGCCATACCTTTTTGAAAATGATATTAATGCAGCACTTCCTATTTATGAAATTTACGAGAACAATTTTCAGATTGGGTTTAGTTTTATATCTTCAGAAGGCTTCAAGAAAGCTTCAGAAGGCTCCTCAAACAACATGCAGTTTGATTGAAAGTCGATTTTGCAGCTGACTTTATAAATTCAAAACATCAGTGCTTTGATTCTCCAGAAATCATTGTAGTTGCATATGTGATATGTATGTACATTTTTTTTACAATTTTATTATGAAAGATAGCTTCCTGTTAAAACAATGTACTTTTTGACGTATGTAATAACTGTCCCTGACATGAACAGCAGGGTGTTACTGCAATCCCTCGTGCTTTACGATGATCCTGTCACTGAAATGGTTTTCTCACCGCGAGACCTCCTTTGTTTTCTCTTTCTCTTCATTTGGATTTGTAGAACTATCATTTATATGAACTTAGCACTTTTGCATGTATCTGAGAATTCATGCATTTAAGTGTGAAGGTGTTTTGCAGTGAAGACAGTCATGGGTTAACTGTAAAGCACTGATGACATTGTCAAAAGCTGGCAAACTGAAAATCTAAATGAGTGAGAGTTTTTGGTCAGGATTTAAGGAGTTGCCGCAGGTGCTTTTACCCTTTGGACAAACTTCAAACTAGGTCATCATCATAAGTAGTAATCAGACAAACAAATCTGCACACAATATAATAAGTCCTACCTTTTGTGTGTAGGTGTATGTGAAGTGTGGTTACCTTCGGGTCTTATTTTAAAAGTTTCTGGCGTGGTGTTTGGAAAAAGGGAACACCCATTAGTAGCCTATTAACTCATGTACAGACATGATCAAGTAAAATTGTTGGAGGCTGTGTTAAACTGTTCATGCGAAGATGCTTTGTATAGAGATTAATGTACCTCCTGTTTTATTGGAAAAACAAGCAATCAAGTCACTGATTTAATCAAAGTCTTTAATCATATAAATTAACCCTGTTAGTCATGCACAATCACTAAACCCAACTTATATTTAATTTGTGTTATTGCATACCCTGTCAGTACTGGGATGATGCTTCATCCATTTCAGGCCTATTTCACCCAAATACTCTACTGAATGAACACATGGCCCAACAGCTGGCAGCCTTTTCAACTGAGTAGGACTTTATTTCCCCCGAGACAGACGTTGCATAATGCACAATGGGTGCTGGAGTTCTCCCCAGCTCAGATGCTCAGACACCGTAGTGGGGTGTTTTGTTACACCACATTAGATCCTGTCACTAACTGCAGAAAAGGGAGTGGTTAGGCCGCAAGCTGTTTGCATTGGTTAGATCTACACTGTCCAGATGCCGAGTCTCCCACTTGTTTGATGGTTATTGCTCAGCTATTAACTGCTACCCCATTTTCATTGGCTAGCCTTTTAGCTGGAACTAACCACTGGATGTTCATTTGCAATTGCAGTAGGGCTGCTCGATTATGGCAAAAATTGTAATCTCGATTATTTGGGTCAATAATTGATATCACGATTATTAAAAACGATTATCCATTTACTTTGAAAACATCAATTTATTGGAGAAATTTGTTTTGAACAGTATATTTTGAACAGTTACCCTGAACTTTTAAGTATAATTCAACTGAAAAACCAATAATAAAAAAAATTAATTTGAAAAAAAGAAAAGTAATAATACAAAAATAATCGTTTTATTTCGATTACGTTGTTTTCGTAATCGTTGCAAGCCATAATCGTAATTGCGATTAAAATACGATTAATTGAGCAACCCTAATTTGCAGTGCCATGATTGCTGGGTATGGATGAAAAGGGAAGGAATTGTCAATGAGGTGTAAATGCCAAGCTACCATAAAAAACGGATTGTAATTTATAAAGTTACAACATGACACATACCTGCCACTCATTTACACACAGCGTACTCCTGGAATTTCACAGCCTAAAAATAAAAAGGTTTTAAAACTTTAGAAAGCTCACTATTCTTCAGCCACTGCGAAATGTTGTAAATGTAATTTGTTATCACCAAACATCAGTTCCCCTTTTTGGAGTCAGGTGATGATGTCAGGGACTTCCTAGTTAGTACAGCAGATTAGATGCTGTGAAGGCCCAACATTCTCCGTAAGATTTTTCATCTGTAGCCATGTCTCATTTGCTGAAAGTAATTTACAGCATGACACCAAAGCAGTAAGCACACAGAAGGGCAATTGGGGACACAAGGTAGCAAGAGGGAGGCCCTGACATCCCCTGAAATACATATTTGAATTGAAATTGCAAAAAGAGCACATGCGAACCTGACAGTGTCACATGTTTAAAGCTGTATCCAAATGAATAACTTGCCTCTGTTTTTATTTGGGCAGAGTACTTTTGGAGTCGCGTCGAAAGTCAAAGAAAATCACAGCAAGAGGGATCTTCACTGGTGGCCGAGTGGTGAGAGGAGTGGACTGGCAGTGGGAAGACCAGGATGGAGGCAACGGAAGGAGAGGAAAGGTAGGTCACCATATCTGTGGAGATGGCGTGTGAATGTCTCCTTTACCGTGTATTTTTTCAGTTTGACTGTTTCTTTAACATGTTATCACTATTATATCACGTCACGTTCGTTGTCATATGCAAAGTAAGAGAATGTTTCCCTGTACAATGAAATTCTTAATTTTCCTTCCATGCTGAATGTATAAAGACACAGTAAATACAAGAAAATGACTAAAGACCACTAAACTACTATTTATAAAACGGACAAGTCAAATCAAGCAATCTGATTGGTTCTTAGCCGTGATATACTGAGCGTATACCACGGGTAGAATTGTAAGTTACTTTTCACAACAAGTCAGTATCCCTCCGCGTCTGAGAAAAACGGTATACAGTTGGGCTGAAAAGCGAACTGCTTGCAGTTTGCTTTTCAAACTGGAACAAGTAAGCAGCGGAGAAGTAACGGGGCAGAAACCCTCCTTTTTACGCAACGGCCCAGACATAGACATCAAACGGCAAAAACATATTCAGTGTGCAGTTCCTTTGGCATTAGGGCAGGGATATTTAGATACTTTCCAAGGTTTGATATAATGAATTGTGCTACTTTTAAAGCAAGCAACGATGTTTTCAAATATGTAATCAAAAAGGTCCGCAAAAACATTTAAGATTAACTTCGACCTCCGGGGGGGTCTTACTATGGAGGAGTGGATTGAGGAGTGCCTATCTCCAGAACAAAAAGCACCTAAACGACGACATGTAGAGCTACGTGAAGAGCAGGTAGTAGACCAACTGGAAAAGTATCACCATTCAAAAGCTTTCTGATGCGGGTCTTGAAACAAAGCAGAGAAATTATGACCGTTAGTCGCCACAGGTGCGAAAGCTCTCTCCAGAGCTACTGGAAGCCGAATCTCGGGGACCGGAGAAAGTGGAGCAATATTCTCGCCACGCCAAGCAACAGCCTAGAACAACCTCAGCCTATACAAGTAACCACGTAAGCCATGCTACTGATGCTGGACAGTTTTTCAGTGGGTGCACAATAAACGGCAACATACACATTAATGTAAATAAATAGCCAAATAATGGATCAACGCTCTCTGTCTAATATGTTCGCTAGCTGTTGTTAGTGTTGTTGCATAGCAACCACCTCGCACTATGTTTCGTGCAGAAGGCAACAGAGGGACTATTTTATTTTGAACATCATTATTTACTAATAACAACTATTTAAATTAGAGTGTGTATTTTTCTTTCATATTGCCACACTTGGTAACCGTTTTATAAAAGCAATAGCTCACTTCAGGCCGTGGTATATGCTCATTATATCACAGTTAAGGGGGTTGTCGACCCTCCGCTTCGCGTCGGGCCGAACCACGCCCCTTAACTGTGATATAATGGCCATATACCACGGCCTGTCGTGAGCTATTGCTTAAATATACAATATATTGAACAGAGAAATCTGTATACAATACTTTGCAGACAGTGGATAGCTTAATGTGTGTGTGTGTGTGTGTGTGTGTAGTGAGTTTGAGGTGGTTAAGGGCAGTGGATTCAATATGTATAACCCCACAACCAATGTGTTTATGATTTTATAGATCCATCCTCTTCACGCTCAATGCATTTATTGGTTGAAAGGTTTCTTCTGGCCGAGCATGACCCCAGACTAAAGGATTTAGTCCACCAACCATAGTCTCAAAAAATCCTGCGGGAGACAATGCAACGCTGCACAGAAGGAAATGACAGGGATCCCTTGCCCCTAAACAACCTTGGAGAGGAAAAAACAAACTTGCATCCCAGGATGTGATTTAATTTGAAATGTGCAGGAGGCTCAACCGAAACAGGAAGTGCACTGTCTGACACAGTGTGTTTGGGGCATGAACATGCTACAAGGAAGTGACAACTACAAATAAAGTCCTCTGGTGCCTAGCCAGGTGTGCTGTAAAGTTGAATATAACTATATCATTGTTCTGGAATATATAAATATACACTTAATTGGTGGTACACTGTTAAGATTACCACAACCCAAATCAATACATTGTCTCGTATACTGTATCGATAATACACTGACACGAATAGATAGCTACAACTAATGGGGTGAAGATTCACCCGTAATTTCCTGTAATGAAAAACCTGCTTTAAACTTAAACAGCTAAATCCATTTAGTGGGAAATCAAATCTGATGAAGATCCTTTCTAAACTCATGACCAGAGGTGCACAATGTGATTGAAAATGATCAAAATGATACACTAAATCTGTATGTAAGTGATGATAATCATTTGTAGATTGCACCACTGCTCGGATTGAGTCCGCTGATTATATTTATCTTTACAGCGCCTATAAACAGACTTCACTGCTGCAGGTTATCCCAGGCTTAAATACATATTAGAAAGTAATACAATGTCTGATGAGGTTGCATTTGTTCGGGCCGGTCTATTTAGATTTATACTGTAACTGTGCTTTAAAGTGCTTGTATTTTGACTCTACTCCAGACCTCTGAGTATTCAATTTAAGAGTCCCTTCAGGCGATTTAAGACTTCATTTTGCTGTGTTATTTAATGGCATATCTCATTACTGTTTTATGATGCTGTAAGCAATATGCTCTCCTCAAATCTGCTACTGCATGTCCTGCAGCTCAGATGTTCCGTTAGATTAGCATGGATATTACCTCCTGAGGCCCGTTAATCAATTACCTCTGTAAGGGGCCTGCAAATAATTTAACGATCTGATTTCTGTATTAACTTAAGGCACAACTTTTAATTAAAGAATTAACTTACTCCAATACCGCTCTTCTCTTGACACTTTCTCAATGTGAGGAAAGCACTGCACCGCTTGTGATGGAGAGAGAATGATCTTGTATGAAGCTCCTAACACTATCTTCCAAATTTGAATTGATTTCCCCCCTTTCATAGCTCATTGCTTATTTATGCCTATAACACATCATTTACTTGGCTTACAGTGCCCTTCAATACATTTCTGCCCAACGCTGTACGCTAGTTCTTACTGCAGTAGTCGGGTGCAGCATCAGTCATAATGTAATACATCAAGTACTTACTCAAGTAATAATGGTGTTAATAGCAGCCACTGCAACGCTGGTATTGTTTACAGCTTGCGAGTCTGTCATCATGGCAAACTGTTCTGCTGGAGGCTACTGATGCTGGAACCACCACAGCAGCCATTTATATTTATGTCGGCCTGTGTACTGATTTCTAGCACAGAAATAGCATCATAACTGCACAGGATGCATTCACAAATGATGCTTTCCAAAATAATTGTCCAAACAAGGGGGGACACGGGGCCATTGCTTTGGCGTTGGTGCTTGTCTGATCCCGTCTAAAGATGGGCTCTAGTTTAATAGTCTTTGGGTGCATGTCATGATAGGAGTGTTCCTTTCTTCTTACAGTATTAACAGTTGATTGTGTAAAGAGCATTCCCTACTGCAGTGTTTCCAAGTTCTGTAAGCAAAATGGGAGCCTGAAATTGTTGTTGCAAAAATAACAGAAACTTACTTTCAGTAGCTTTGAAATATATTTCTAAATAAGCATGATAGGGATCTAGGCATACTGCAACATGAGTTTGGATCAAGCCCTCCTAGAATGCTAATGAATAGAAACACACATGGAAAGTGATGTCTCAGACCTTCCTAAACCTTTAAAGATGAAGCATGTAACCATATTTGAATACCCAGTCATTAAGTATGTATCTGTGGAATAATAATAATATGCATCTTGTTCCCTCTTAACTCTTCTGAAACATGCAGGAACATTTTTGGATAGTAAATCATGTCTAGTGTTTCTTGTTCTGATGAGCTTCCCACAGGCTCTGGCTGAACTTGACTTGCTTGTGTTGTCTTTAGAAAAAGCAATAATAGTTAACAATAATAACGGTTGATGGAGTTTAATTACAATGTTCTTGATGATTTCCCAACTGATGAAATAAAGACAATAGAAGGTTTAGTATTGACTGTAAGATTGCAACGTTGGGAGAATTAAAACAAAAATCTAATTGCAACCGCAAGAATCAAACCCCCTAATCATATTTGTTCATGAGTCCAACACCTAATATTACTCCGTAGTTAGGGTGGGATGCGTACTTAACTTGAAGTTGTTTGAAAGTTTATAGATTGACTTTTGCTCTATTCTATAACCATTTTTTAAGTTGGTGCTCTGTGCATGGCCAGATGACACTGGACCCTTCAACTAGAGGAGTTCAGCTTGTGTTTGCAGACATGTTCTTGTCTTTGAGCTTGGCACTGGGTACTCCATGACTTCTGTAGTTCAACCTTCACGCTGACCTTAATTTGAGAATACATTTCTCCACAGGGAAAAAGAAAGTAGCATATTCGCTAGTATGAGTAGGAGGTTTTAAGATGATAAAAAAACCTGCTTGCAAGCTCCCAATGAAGAAAAATCAATAAATCCCATATTTTCACATACAGTATGCCAACAAATGTATTTCAATTCCCATCCAGACAATGTTCTTTTCACACTAAAAGGATCAGGAAATGACAAATAAAACTCCAAAACCAAGTGTTTTCAATGTTTTTCTTATCTGTCTTTTTCATCTCCTCCCTCTTCCTCTTCCCTAGGTGACAGAGATCCAGGACTGGAGTGCCGCCAGCCCGCACAGCGCGGCCTACGTTCTGTGGGACAATGGGGCCAAGAACCTGTACAGAGTTGGCTTTGAGGGAATGGTGAGCGAACTTCCAGGCTGACCCTCCTGCGCCGTCCCTCACTCACACACACACACACACACACACACACACACACACACACACACACACACACACACACACACACACACCCACCCACTGAGTCTCACAAAAGATCAGCTGTCAGGTGGCTTTGTGTCTGACCGCAGGGCTGGGGCCTTTGTTAGAGCCACGCAGCCAGCATGAGTAAGGCACCATTGTACAGGCAGCTGGAAAGGGAAGGTATCTGCATGATAAAGACAAGCTGTTCCTTGGGCTCTTTTAGGGGGAAGAGAGTGAACACGGAGGTCAACTTTAAAGGAGGGGGCCATTCTCTCGGGGTTGTTGCAGGCGCTGCTCCACACGCGTCTCAAATGAAAAGCATCCTTCTCATTGGTGGAGACTGCCCTCTCCTTTTTTACAAAAGAGGCCAATCGGGTTTCTCGGTTGCATAACAGATTTGTCCTTTTGTTATTTTAATAGGCTGAGAGAAAAGAAAAAGGCATCTGCCTCTGGATTAAGTAAATCATGGTTCCGACCCCCCATCTTGACTTCACTTTTAAGTTTCTTATTAAGACATTCCTGCTAGCTGCTACACAGTTGGTTGTGACGGTTGTTGTTCCAAATGCGGCAACACCTTTTCCTGTTGAGTAATGTATGCTTTGCGCTCAGTGCATTATGAAGTCAAAAGGGTCTTACTGGCTGGATACAGCAGTATAGACTTAATTTGTCAGGACATGTTTTACTTCCATCAGTTCTGAGGAATGTTTGCTCACAGTCTTCTCTGCCCTCTAACTCTGCCACTGTGGCTGCACATCTGAGTCATCACAAATGATACAACGCCTTCCCTCAGTGGCAGTGGAGTGTTTTATTGTCCTGCATTACCCTTAGGGCACTGATATTGTTGGTATTCTAGACATCTACACTGACACTACACCATCAAGTGTTTCCATTCTCTGTTTCAGTATTCTTGATCTTTGTACCCTCTCCTCTAATGGAATTACCCTGGCTAATTATTATCTAACTTTGCTCCCTCTTTCTCCCATAGTCGGATCTGAAATGCGTCCAGGATGCCAAAGGCGGCTCTTTCTACAGAGACCACTGCCCCGTTTTAGGTGAGTTTCCCTCTGATCTGTGTCCTCCGTCATTATTGCACCAATTCTCTCACCTATCGTTCTGGTGCAGTGAATTCAAGGGCATTAGGGGGAGATTCACGTGAAGTTAATTGTGTTTGGCCACTAGATGGCAGCACCACATAATCACAAATAAAAGAAAAGGGCTCAGGTCATGCAGTTTCAGCATTCCTGGAATTCCAGAGTGGATTGTCTCTGTGGATTCGACACTGCAGGAAAAAGTCAGTCATGAGGATTGATAGTGTCCATATTCACAGAAAATGATGTGAACGATTTGATGTTTGACTTCATCTGTGTTTTGTCTTTACCAGTATGCTACTACATATGAGCTTATTTGTACATTTGTTGAATTGCATACTATCAGATTATTTGTATTTCTTTTGTGCCATTTTCTATCCATCCTTCTGTTCTTAGCCCCTTAAGGTTCAAAATGATTAAAGTGTAAGACTAATACAGTTTTTTTTGTATACACTTTAAGTAATGCCAATGTTATTTTTAGTACTCCTAACCTTTGCCTTCATCTCCCAGGTGAGCAGAATGGCAACAGAAATCCTGGCGGTCTCCAGATTGGAGACTTGGTCAACATCGACTTAGACCTGGAGATTGTTCAGTCGCTGCAACACGGCCACGGAGGATGGACTGACGGCATGTTTGAGACGCTCACCACCACCGGCACGGTCTGCGGCATCGATGAAGACCACGATATCGTCGTTCAGTACCCCAGTGGGAACAGGTGAGTCTCTATCAACTGGCTTTTAAATATTGGCTGCCATACAGTGGAACCAATAAAACGGCTTCCTATCACTATAATTCACCCATTAAAGTTTTATATAACCCTTTTTGACTTGGCGCAGTCAAACGCCATCAAACACTTACATGTATATCACTACAACATAAACATTGGTTTGTAACATCCTTGAGAGAAAGACGTTTTAAAATGATCGGTTGATTTGCGTGTGGCGCAGTGGATAGAGCGTTGGTGTTCGGATCAAGGGAGCACAGGTTCAAACCCCACTGCAGTCAGCATGTCGTTGTGTCCCTGGGCAAGACACTTCACCCCAAATTGCTCCTGTGGGGATTGTCCACAGTATTGAGTATGTAAGTCGCTTTGGATAAAAAGCATCTAACAAGTAACATGTAAGTAACATGTAATTTGTATTCAAATATTAAGTCGGTCTTCTTAGCGCCCATCTGTTAATTTTCAGTCTTCTGCATGTATTCAGATCACATCCATAAAGTATAAAAAATATCTTCTATATCACATCATTTTTGTATTACTTAATCGTAGCTTCCAAATACCCAGAGTGACTGCTCAGAATCTATCCTTCAGGTATCCTATCTTATACATTGATGGATGTGTGGTTAAAATGCATTGCCATGTCGATCCTCAGGTGGACATTCAACCCAGCAGTGCTGACAAAGGCCAATGCGGTGCGCAGCGGTGATGTAGCAGCAGGGGCGGAGGGGGGCACCTCCCAGTTCCTGGTGGGAGACCTGGTGCAGATCTGCTTCGACATCGACCGCATCAAGCTGCTGCAGAGAGGCCACGGAGAGTGGGCTGAGGCCATGCTTCCTGTAAGAGTCTGAATGAGTTCACACACAGATATAACCACCCTCACAAGGGGCACAACATCAAATCAAACTTATCTACTGACTGTAACTGTAAAGTTGTGCGAGTGACAAAACAAATCAAAAAAATGCACTCCAGTGGACAGTTTCATATAAAACTTATAATAAAAATAGCACTTGAAAATATGAGGAAATCAATGCTGTTAATATCGGCACCATATATCATTTCGAAATCCTAATTGTTACTTGGAACTCAGTGTACAATTTGTATGCAAATTCTCTAAATTAGGCTCAATTTATGTGTATTTTTCTGCTGTTCCTCTCACACCCAACTGTGCCAGTCCATCGTCTCTCTTCAATCCCTCTTTGGCTGCCAATTACTTTGCATTTATCTTTATTTTGTCTCGACACAACTTTATTCGTCCCTTTTTTTTTTATTCAGTGTGTTCGTTGCTGCCCAGCACGCCCCAGGTAATGTAACGGCAGTCTCCTCCAATATGCCACTTGTCCCTGCCAAACGGGACCCCCCTCGGCAGCTAATGAGCCTTAAAAACCCTGAGATGGGTTGTAGCTTTGATCACTAACCACGGCTGTTTGTCGCCCGCTGCTGCTTCTACTGCAGCAGTCCCCGTTATTGATGGCATCCTCCAGGACAGACCCCGCTCCACAGACTCAAAGTGCCTCTTTCTCATATAGCCGAGATCGAGATGATATGATTCAAAATTGGAAAGCATTTTGCGCTGTCCTCTCTGTATTGCCTGTATAGATGAAGAATAGTCCAGCCGGCAGAAGGGTCTCTTTCTCTTACATCCATCTTGTTCTTTCTTGTGCAAGTACATCTCAATAATGAAACACAGAAAAAGAAGATATTCCAGATTTAAGCTGTCAGCTTTTATTCTTGATACATGCTTTGTTTCTGCTCTGCTTTGTTGAGTCCTCTTTATCCTTTTCCCGCACCCTCTCATTTTTTACTCTTCGTAACAATCCCCTTCCATCTTCGCTCTGCCACTTACAGGCTCTGTTACACCGAACACAGCCCAAAGACAGCAGCCCTCCATGTACTAATGAGTTTGTCGCAACATTTACCAACAGACCCTCGGCAAGGTGGGCCGTGTGCAGCAGATCTACTCCGACAGTGACCTGAAGGTCGAGGTTTGTGGAACTTCTTGGACGTACAATCCCGCCGCCGTCACCAAGATCGCCCCCTCCGGCTCGGCTGTCAGCAACGCCTCTGGAGGTAAGTGTGAACAGGCACTGCTGACATAGAGAGAGTGTCATCTTCGTTCTTCGTCATCACCGCTCCCTGTTCTCTGACACCTGCACGCAATCTTTTTCTGCTGTTTTCTTCCCCCCTGTTCGAGTAGAGCGTCTCTCTCAGTTACTGAAGAAACTATTTGAGACACAAGAGTCCGGAGACATCAACGAGGAGCTGGTCAAGGCAGCAGCCAATGGCGACTTGGCCAAGGTGGAGGACATCCTTAAGAGACCCGAAGTGGACGTAAGTGCTCGACGTTCTGTATTTTGGGATGAGCAGCTGCCGGTTTTCTAGATGGGTTTTTGATGAACAACAAGTCTTTTTTTTTGCTATTGTATATTTTCAAAAGATGCGAGTACATTTATAATTGAAGCTGGAATATACCCAGCTTTGCTTCGCTCTGCTCTCAGTATATAGAGGAGGCTGAGAGTCTCCCAGGAAAGGGTTCTGAGATCCTCCCACTCCTGCTCCTCTCTCTATCTGAAAAGCATTAAGGCTGGGCCCAGAGGAGGCACCGAGGAGCATTGATGTGCACTGCAGCACAGACCTTTATTCACTCTAGAAAATCAAGATTAGATCTACAAACCCCATATGGTTGCAGATTGTGTTCTGACACAGTCTACAAGCCAGGGAAAACACCCATTAGCCACAGGACCAAAGCGTGTGCCCTGTATGGGTTATGAGAAGTGGTTACGTCAGGTCTGCAATCCTGTCCTCACTCAGAGAGCAACATAGTGAATGGGTGTGTGTGTCAGTGGCGAAGGCTGGCCACATGCCCTACTGCCTTTCAGTGGAATTATTTGCTTAAAGCTGAGCACACTGAGCTCGGCCAAGTGATCCGCCTGCCAGGACAAGAGACGTCTCGAGACTCCCAAAGGAGCACCGCATTAATATTTATGATCTGAGTTTTTGCAGTGCTGCAGTTGCTGATGAAACATGCACACACAGCCGCGCACGCACATCCACACGTACGAGCGCTTAAACACACCTTGGTCATTCTTTGAGCCCCCCTCAGGTGAACGGCTAATTGAGTAGATGCTTACCTAAACATGACATTGACACGCAGCCGTATTCTCTCTCTTGATGTGTTGACAGGTGAACGGGCAGTGTGCGGGACACACTGCTATGCAGGCAGCCAGTCAGAACGGGCACGTGGATGTGCTGAAGCTGCTGCTCAAACACAACGTTGACCTGGAAGCTGAGGTTTGTATAATTAAAATGAATGTCTCCTCTCTCTTCTCATATGTAATCTTACTTGCCATAAAGGCATCTTAGCCCACTATACAGGGGGAACAAATCTTATCACGGTCAAAAGACTGAGTCATTATGCGGGTGTGTCACTGTTCTCAGGACAAAGATGGAGACCGGGCAGTGCACCACGCAGCCTTCGGTGATGAGGGCTCTGTCATTGAGGTGCTGCAGAGGGGCGGTGCTGACTTGAATGCCAGGAACAAGCGAAGGCAGACACCATTACACATAGCTGTCAACAAGGGACACCTGCAGGTGGTCAAGACCCTGCTGGACTTTGGCTGCCACCCGAGCCTTCAGGTACCTAACCCTGCAGCTTATTTACAAATGAGCAGAGTTCTCTTTGTGACACAGTAGAGAGAAGAGAGGTCGTCTGAGGCAGGGTTTGAATCACACATTAGTACTGGAATAGTAAGTAACACAAGTTTCCCCTTTTTAGGATTCAGAGGGGGACACACCCCTGCACGATGCCATAAGCAAGAAGAGAGACGACATGCTGTCAGTGCTGCTGGAGGCTGGGGCCGATGTCACCATCACCAACAATAACGGCTTCAATGCTTTGCATCACGCTGCACTGCGAGGGAACCCCAGGTATGAGACACTAACCCACTCTCCCACTACTTGTCACACATTTCGGGAGTCTATGAGGGACAGGGGCATGTTTAAGTGGAATCTGTGGAAACTTAAATATCTCAATAAATGGCTGCTTAACGCTTTCAGTAGATTACATACAGACATGCTGAATACCGAAACTCTCAACATAATATATATGTTAAGTGTCCAAACACTGTTTCCTTTTTTGACAAATTAATTATCAGAGTCCTTAATTTGAATAGACAATATAAATACTGATACTTACAGATTCTAGCCTTAAATAATAAAAGCGCACTAGACTAGTGTTACTTTGTGACTGTCATTCCATAAATATTTTTCAGTACTCATGTCATGTTGTTTGGATTATTTAGACTTGAGCATTAAATTATAATTCAAACTGATGCATAATTTGGTATCAAATATAGAGCCAAACTGAAACTGCTTTTACTCAAAGACATTTCAGAGTAGGGCTGCTCGATTATGGCAAAAATCATAATCACGATTATTTTGGTCAATAATTGATATCACGATTATTTAATACGATTATTCATTGACTTTGAAAACATCCATTTATTGAACTTTAAAACAAATAATAATTTGAACAGTATCTTGTTAACTGTTGATTACCCTGAACGTATAATTCAACTGAAAAACCAATACAAAAATAAATTAAATAAATGATATATTTAAATAAATAATATAAAAATAATAAATACCAATAAACAAGATCAACAAATATTTTGGAGCGCACTTCCACAAGCTACTAAACATATATAAATATGATAAATACAAATAAATTAATTAGATCAAATATGTTGCAGTGCACTGTCACAACCAAGCAAAGCTAAATAATAGTTTTTTTCGATTATGTTGTTTTTGTAATTGTGGCAGGCCAAAATCGTAATTGCGATTTAAAATACGATTAATTGCACAGCCCTATTTCAGAGCGTAATTATCATCAAACAATATTAAAACCTTTCGAGAATATGATTTAAAACTACGAGCACAAGACTATCCTGTTTAGTTTATTACCAGCCAGAGGACAGAGGCAGTGACAGAACCACTAATCTGTAACTACTAATCCGTTACTTAATCATCCTCTGTTGGTATGAAAGATGAGGTTTAAACAAGGAGACAAAATAGGTCCAGTCATTGACATAAACCGACACATTAGGATTTACAGACATATGATCTTAATGAGAAATCAGAAGTGTATAAGCATGACACTTCAGACACTTTCTCGGGTATAAAAAGATCCTTTTCTCGGTATCGCATAGTTGAATGTGTTCCAAGGCATAACATAGCGTACAAATGAAAGTTTACAGTATTTACTGAACCCTAACCCTAACCCTATGTAACGCATTACTTCAGTCATGTGTGATGTTCTTCTTAAAATTCTCTAATCGTCTTTTGCCGTAGTAAATGTACCAGTTTATGGGGATAATTTCAATTCTTCCACAGATTCCACTTTAATTTAAAAGTAGTTTAAAGCCATTAAAACTAAATGATCACATTTCACCCTACTATGAAATGTACTCCGGGATTTCAATTTAGTCCGACATTGATTGAAGTTTGAAGCAGGCCTATAGGCTTCATCTAACTCCCCAACAGATGGTATGGTCTCAAATTGACATTAGACTACCTTTGAGGCCTTGAAAGCATCTGTCTTACTTTCTTTCTTAGTGTAGTTAATAGCCCTTGAAGTTCATTTGTTGTTTCTTTTTTACTGTAATGCTGGTCTGTTACCGTGTGTTGGGATGTGAGGCTGGCCTGAAGCGGGTCGCCTCGTCCTTGGCCGTCAGTGTTTCTGTCTGAAGGAGCTTACTGCTTACACTCTTTGGCTGCTTTATTCTTATCTCTCAACCATGAGCATATTAAAGATGGCTCAGCGAGATGGCGCTCTGGATCAGGTCGATCATGCAGGGTCTCTTAAATTGATGGGCATCGATGCTACAGGGTCAGTGTTATAAACTGGAGCGGTTTCTAGGGAAAGTTAACAGCTGTATCCCGTGCTCAACGCTTTCAGTGTGTTCGCTTATGGTTGGTTGCATCTGAGCGTGGTTATCCCAGACTAAATGTCATGCCCCTTTGCTGGCATTCATTTGTTTGGCATGAGGGCAAACTGTGGTCAGAGGGCATTACTAATATCATTTGTATTTAAAACAATAGTTTAGGGAAATGCAGATCTTAAGAAAAGGGTGCTAAAAGAAATGAACAGCAACACAAGTACATCAAATGCACAAAAACAGTAAACATTAGTTCACAATGTGTTTTTCTAATGTTTTTACCTTTTATAAAAGATACAGAACGAGTTTGCTCGAGCCCCTCAGCAGCTCTTTCTAGAGTTGATGATCCCTGAAATTGTATAATTAAATGTAATTATATAAATAAGGGTCTATCTGATGAATCCATATCTTAAATCTTTTTCAGATTATACGAGATAAATGACAACATTTACACACGCAACACACAAAATTGAGCATATGGTCAGAAGTCGGGGTCTGACTTTGTAGTCCGTGAGAGAAAACATATTACAAGGCTGATGTGTGTAATGAATAATACTAAACTTATTTAGTAAGGGTCAGAGACTGGCAGAGTGTAAAGCAAATAGCTTGCAGTGCAAATATACAAATGCAATGGGTGTGTAATGTGTAATGTGTATATGTAAACCAGCAGTCAGAATGTAGAGGAGCAGAAAGCTGCTCCGCTGTGGGACTCATTGATTTAGTGGCGAAAAAGTGCCGAAGCACAGCATTTTCTGTATCAGGGCTCCTGTTGTGTTTGTGTGTGTGCGTCGCTCGCTCGGGTCCACGCTCTGTCCCCTTGCCTTCAAGAGAAACGAAGATATATGTCGCCTTCTCCAGTCTGCCCATTTACTTTTATTTCACGCTCGAGCTCCTGCAATATCGGGGAGACAGTCCACAAGTCCTAAAGCCCTCGAAAATCTCTCCCTAGGTTGAAATGAAAGCACCTTGTCTGGCGTGTTTTTAGTGGAAAGGCAGTTGTTTCGATTGAGTGCTTAAAGGAATTCCAACCATAGAATCATATTTCAAAAAGGTGCATTTGACGACGGCCATGAGGTGGTGCTTGGAGTTGGAAGTTGATCGGAAGGCCATTGCATGAGGGATTTTATATGAAGCCCCTCTAGTAAATGATTGATTGTATTATTGCTTCCTGATAGAAGGTCCACGCCTCTTGTTTAGACTGAGCACTGAAACAGAATGCTCTGGCATACATTGCTTGAACAGATCTAATCTATAATTTCAAATCAGAAATATTCCAATACAAAAAACAGGGGGGGGAAAAAGGTTACAGTGCGTCACAGTCCCTGGTGTGCGTGTGTGTGTCTTATGTGAGTGTTTTAAGAGCGCTGTTGGGTGTTCCAGCGGTGGATATAAGATTGAGGAAGACACATAGGAGGAACCCTGTGGGGCATCGATTAATCTTTCAACCTGGTGTCCCAAATACAGAAACAAATCAAGTGTACCAACTGGGGCGCTGCAGGAGCTGGGGAGTGTTGCTATATTTCACCTTGTTCATTACTCACACACACACACACACACACACACACACACACACACACACACACACACACACCACGACAGAAGGTAAAGGCATTTCCTCATAAATTAGACCTAGTTAAGTTTTTACAATTGCTACTAAAAATGAAAGCGCTGTTATAACCAGTAAGGTGTCGATTTTCTCGGACATCCACGTTGTGTTTTCACCCCCGTGTGTGTTTACTGCAGCACGAGCCTGCAAGGGGAGCCTGGCTCGTCTCTGTGTCTTTCCCCCGGGCTGCTAGATGCCAGTAGCTGCTACAATACTGTAAACAATACGATTAATAGCCCATGACTCATAACCGTCTCCAAACAAGCCCTGCAGCGGCGGTCTGTACCCTTTAACGTGTCACCTCCCTGTAATATCCCCCCCCCTTCTCCTTCTCTAATACAGTGCTCAGCTTTTTCTTTTATAATGGCAACATATAGGAACACCCCCATATGGTAATGGAGCGCTCTGTAATCATTCACACTGTGCTCCAAATTGCAGTATTCCCAATATAATGGCAGTACTAATAGGCAGCAGCATAAGGGCTATATTGTAACAGAATCGCAATTAGAAAGAAAATAGTTTTGTTGGTCCGCAGTGGCAAATCTGCAAAATGGGTCAAATGTTTGCATTTTCTAGTGGCTTGCCGCTTTATGCACATGTTCTTCGTGGCTGCCATTGATTGAATTAGGAGTCTTTCACCCTCTCTCTTGCTCATTTCAGACTAGGCTAATCAAGTCAGACCAGCGTAATTGAGTAAGCTAGTGTCTTTTACATTACCCGAATAGATTTTATGGTTATTGGTCCAATGGAGAACACTTTACATTCCAAATAAATGGAGAATGGAGTGCTATTTACTATGAATTAAATAAATAATTTGTAAATGCTCTACCCACATTCTCACATCAGTACGAGTGATGAGACAAATTAAAGCGTTCACATCAATTTCAAAACTAAATTCACTTTTTTACTGAGTTTAATAAAAGGCCTGTTTGACATAGCGTTAAGCACCAAATTAGGAAGGGAAAATAAAGGGAGGGGAGACGCAGTGTGACGGGAGTTTGGGTTAGATCTGCAGTAACAGCGACTGGATGTGTGAGACTGTAACCGTTTGTGAGCGCTCTGTGATTTGTGCGTTTAGTTCTTCTTGTCCTCTGAGCATCTGGCTCTCATCTACCCCAGCTTTTCCAACATCACTGCAGGACACTTCAGGGGGAAGGAGGCCAAGCGTTTTACATGTGTGTTGTGTGTAGTCTCTAAACAACTATATTTTGCCCCCTTTTTTCCCTTTTATTCGCTATGGTATCCCTGCTGAGCTGCATTTGTTTTCTCCTTTATTTCTTCTCTTTTGCTTATTCCCACCCACAGTGTAATTGACTGCCAGACAGTCGGTTTAGGAGACGTCTTAGCCAGACAGCTGTACGGACATGTGAGTGCTGTGTTTCTGA